TCGCAGGTTTTCCAGCGATGCCAAAACCCAGGGCCGAGGGCTTTGTCTCAGAGATTAACAGCACTACTGCTGAGAACACTGCGGAGGGCTTCACGTGTTTCGTGGATTTTCACTTTTTTTTTTTTTTTTTTTTTGGTCATGATGCTGTCAAGCTGTTTTCTGCAATTGAAAATTCACCTTGGGGGGGAAAAAAAAAAAAAAGGCAAACCAACACACAGCTACCAAACATCGCCGCGCCGATCCAGGCTCTGTGGCTTTTACCCTACAATATATTGACCTGGAATTTGAACCAAAATTGTAACGTTTGCCCCTGCAGCCTCCAAAAAACCCCAGCGGCCGCTGCCAGCCCACGTCCCCACCAGGAAGGGAAAGCCCTGCAACCGAGTCTGCTGCTCAGGCAGGGACCTGCAGCCTGATGTAGGTCTCTCTCTTCCAACTCCCCCAGTTCCTGCCCTTGAGACGTGTCTCTTCTCCTGTTTCTCTCTTGAGGAACACCCCAGAGAGGGGTTTTTTCACCTCCGCGGCTGATAACGTGACACCCAACTCTGGCCTGAGGAAAAGTCGTTGACGTCGGGCTCGCTGTTGGGTTGGTGCACCTCCACCATGATGAAATGCTGGTTGGCCACGGCCTGCGGGCTGCCCTTGTCCGGTGGGGGGGGTGCCGGGTGGGACGGACGGGGGAGGAGGAGGGGACGGGGAAGGGGGGCTCTGAAGCCCGCCGGCTGCAGGGCCATCTGGGGGTGGGCTCTTCAACCTCGTTGGGGACTGGACCCTGGGGAAGGGACCGATGGGGTGTTGGCTGACCAAGGAGAGCTGGGCATCCATCTGCCTCCTGGAGCTGTGCAGGGCCGGAGAAATGGTGGCATAGATAGCGCTTGGGGCAGACTCCTCGGTGGATGTGGTAGCAGTGGAAGTCACGCTGACCGTGTCCTTCTCAGGGTGGCTAGGAGGGGGCGTGGGGTTTCGAGGGGCCACGAAGAAGAGGCCTGACTGAGAGGACTCGGAGGAAGGGCGCTTGGGCTTGTCTTTCCCTGGGTTCCTGTGCTGGGCAGCAGCAGGGTCCAGCATCTGGGGGGCTGAAGGAGGAGGTGGAGGCTTGAAGTTGGGTGGTTCGTCTGGGAAGGAGGAGAGATCGTCCTGCCAGACCAAGAACAGAAGCCTTTAGGACACCATGCTCTGCTGCAAGAACTTCCCCAGGCCCACAGTCACCTGCACCCGCCTTCTCACAGTGACCGTGGCAAAATGAGCTGATTTTCATAGCAACACCTTTCCGACCTCACCGGCAGTAAGAACACGACTCAGAAGTGAGGACAATTAGAGGACAAACTACCCAACTTCTGCTCTGGTTCACACAGATCTGAGACTCAGCCAGCCAGCCAGCATCCTTCTTCCCAACTGGTCTGATTAATTGGCTGCAGTGAAATCCACGGGCCCGTGACGTAGCAACGAGCTACAGAAGCTGAGGCAAGACTCGGTATCATCAATTTGCCTCCAGCTCCCATCCAAGACGCAGCAGCACGGCGTAGTGCCTTACCAGGGAGATGTCCGGCAGAGTGTTGATGCTAGTTTGGTGGCCATCTCCACCTCCCTCCAGTTCTGACGTGTTCTAACAGGGCAAAGAAGGAAGAGAAAACCAGGTCACAGCAGCAAGGAGCAACCACCACAGTGTCAGCGAGGCAGGGAACATGCAAAGAGATACACGGCGTTGCCCAAAACCCCCACGCAAGGCCAGTCTTTCACCCAAAGGTTTTGGTTTCCTGGGAAGTTCCCTAGAGACTCACACGTACGAGCAAAGCAACACGGCTGGGAAACCGACTCTCCCAAGCTAAGCTGCGTGCTCAAAGCACGCTGTGAACTTGACCTACCAGGGCAATCTCCTCTGTAACGGAGCAGCATGCTCCTCTTAATGAACTCTCAGCTCTGGAGGGAGGGGAGGAACCAGCTCTGAGGGCCGCAGGTTCCACACCTGGATCTTTCCCAGGAGAAGGGCAATGCACAAGTTTAAAACTTCCCTCCCTTGCAGACCAGAGCAGTCGGCCTCAGATGCTAATAGAAGCCGCTGCCACTGCCTTAATGAGTCAAAATGTCATTAGAAAACGTCACATCACAGCTCTGAACACGTCACAGCTCCAGACGTCAAGAAGGGCTTCGGGAATGCGTCAGTCTGTCTGCGCAGGGGCAGCTGTCAGTCGGGATGGACCCAAGGCGAGGACACGGGACACAGTCTGACAGAGCAAACGGGCACCCTGGCTACGCACCAGCAGGGAGGGCAGAGCTGGGGGGTGCAGAGGGGGCTGGGTGCGGAGCTCTGCCCCGGGGAGCCGTGCCTGGCCTGAACGGGGCTGAACCCAGCCGGTCCTGAGTCCAGGCCAGAGCCGTGGCTCTGCTGCTGGCTTTGCCCCAGGTACTCTCCTGGGGGATGCGCTGCGGTGGTGCACATCCCCAGCTCTGCCTGGTTCCCCTGCAAGAGCAAACCCAGACTCAGCACCCCCCTCCCACAGGAACCCCCCATCCGGAGAAGCGTCTGCCGCTGCTCGGAAAGGGTGTACTTCATTTCTGTCACGTTCACAGGGATGTTTGTGTGTTTGTGCTGGAATGGGCAGGGTACAGTTTGTGTTTAACTGTGTGTTATTTATTGCAGGGTAAACAACTGCTTAGTTGAAATGTTGGTGCATCTGCATTTCCCCCATCTGCTGGAGGCTGCCGCTGTGCCTGTAAGATGTTAGCGTCCCAAAATAGACACGGGAGACAATTAAGAACATTAGAGAAGCAGCAAAAACATTGATGGAAAGTGCTTTTATCTCTGTGGCTTATCAGAAGAAACCCTGGAGAATGAGAACTAAAAGAAATGGCTTGTTCAGAAAGCAACAGGGAAAGTAGTAGCTTGGGAAACCACTCCTTCCTCTGTCGAGGGCTGATTTTATCATCAATCCAATATAAAGGCAGGTGGCTTTTGAAAGAGAAACTTCCCCTACCCCTTCTTGGGTTACTGACCGCGCGGCAAGCCAGGGCAGCAGACAAGATCTGGCTGAAACACACGGCAGCAGCGACAGAAAGATCAGGCTTCAGCCAGAGCTGACGCACCACAGGACTCTGCAAATCCAAGCGCTGGCACGAAGGACGGGGCGATACCATACGCCTGAGGCTGGAGGAAGGCTGTTTCAGAAACGACCTGCCTTCATATTGATTAAAAGGATCACGGACTGCTCTGGGCTGTGCACGTATTAGCAGCAGGACTTCAGATTCACCTGAAGCGCCCACGAGTTTAAAAAGCTCGAGTGCCATCACGGACGCCAAGGAGCAGAGATGCTCAGCCGGACAAAATGCAGGGCTGAAGAAACCGCTCGAAACTGCACCAGCGCGCTCACCGCAGAGCTCCCTCCCTTTGCCATCGTTTCCTCTAACGAGAAAGCTGTTCTGCAGAAAGCTGCCCAAGAATCTAACCCTCCCCCTGCACCAGCCCACCTCCAGCTGCTGCCCAGAGCCTTTAATCCAGCCAAATGGCTGCGGGCACGAGGAGAGGAGCCAAGGTGGAGACGGTGGCATTTCAGCTCAGCCTGGCCTCACGTGAGAGGATCTCGGTGTCCCAAGCTCTTCCCGCTGCCAGCCTCAGCCTGCCTCCAGGAGTTCACCGAGCTGCTGGCAGACGCGTGAGGACCAGACCCCCGTGATGTGACGGGGAGCAGCCTGCCGTCAGATAGACATGGGTACCTCGCTACTAGCCCCCCGTGATGGGCCGGGGACCAGCCTGCGGTCGGATAGCCATGGTTACGTCGCTACTAAAGAGAGAAGAGTCCGCCCGATGCCCCCCCTAAAATTCTGCCCGTGCCATTTCCCCCAGCCCTACCGCTGAACTCCGTGCCCATCACCATGACATCAGGCCCATCGTGTGCCGTGTCCCAGCCCAGGCCTCGTAGCTAGGACCAGTCCGCAGCGAGACTTGAATCCTCCCGGCAAAGGGAGGGTGGGCACAGCGCCGCACCCCGCGCCCTCGCTGCCAGCACTCATCCTGCTGCCCCGGCTCTGCTCGCCCTGCGCAGCCAGGGCCACCGACACTGCTCCTCCTCTTCAGGGCACTTTCTTTCTGCTGAAGTGTGCAGGGAATTTGCCTTTCCCCAAGCTTAGTACTTTGGGGGCAAAAGCAATTAAATAGAAATTGCTCTGGGCTATAAAATGTAATGGGTTTTAAGCTGAGCACATTTGCTTTCAGGAATTGGCTATTTTAAGACTCTGCTTTCCTGGATTTCCCTTGGAAGACCCATCGAAGCCACGTGCCACTGCTCTGAAAAATGAGTTTTTATTGAGGAGGCTGCTCCCTCCTACCGACTCTCTGCTCCTTTAGCCCATCTATTTTCTAGTTACTTATAGAAACTGGGGGCCAGGCGAGGCTCTTCCAGCCCCTCTGCAGGATGCAGCTGGAAAACTTTTGCCATAGAATCACAGACTGGTTTGGGTTGGAAGGGACCTCAGAGATCATCTGGCCCCAGCCCCCTGCCATGGGCAGGGACACCCTCCGCTGGCCCAGGATGCCCAAAGCCTCATCCTCCTCCCTCCTATCTTGCACAGAGTCCAGGGCAGGAGCAATGGAGCTGGACAGCATCTTCCAGACAGGCAGTTTCCATCCTCAGATTAAGTGGTGGAGAAACTGCCACCTCCCTGGGGAATACAACCCAACCTTTAATTAACCTCGCAGCTCCAAGCGAGTCCCTTGTTTTCCCCTCCCTTGTTTTCCCCTTCCTTAGCTTTGCAGAGCTACTCAGCCTGACTCGAGCAGGGTTTAAATTTTGAACAAGCGCACCAGTCTGAGAATAAGCCCAGCTTTCCTCCTCTCTCCCACCCCAGAACACATCTGGGGGGGGTGGAGGAGCCCCAGAGCCCCTGGCCCTGCCCCAGCCTGAGCACAGACCTCTCCGACTTCGGGGGCTCTGAGGGTGATGCAATGACACCCCCGCGGTGGCTTCACTCCATCTCTATCCTCATCGCCCGAGAGGATCGTGCCACGCGCACAGGAACCCTCCACATGGGACATCTGTGCCTGTCCCGGAGGGGGTCAGAGGACAGCCGGGAGCTGGAGCAGCTCTGTAACGGTGGACATAGGTGAGGAAGATGTCCCCCACTGCTCTGCTCTTGTTCTGCTCTCTCTCTGGGGACACAGAGATCAGCTGCCAGAGAGGCTGTGGGCTCTCGTGCTTGAGATTCACTTTCCAGAGAGAGGAACCGCTCAGTGCCATCCTCTCCTTACTCATACTGCTTGTGAAACGGAGACCAAAGACGGACAGGGGCTAGCAACTCAACTGGGTTACTGCTCTGGGCCCAATCCTGCAGCTTCGGGGAGCTGGGAGCAAGTCAGCGCCTGTGGAATCAGGCCCTGGGAGGAGAAGGCAGCTGTGGACGGCAGCGCCTTTGCTAGGAGGCAGCGGAGAAGAAAAATGAAATCAACAGGGATTTCGATTCCATAATCCTAGCAGTGAGGGCTGGGACAGGGACAAAGGCAATGCTAGACTGCCTTGTCTGTAAGCGATTAGAAACTCATACTGCTCCGATTAGACAAGTCGCATCTGATTATGGCAGGCTACAAATAACCTCTGCTTTGCAGGACTCATCTGGAGATCCAAGATTTACAAGGGGTGAGGGTGACACTTAGATAGGCAGACACACATCATCTGTGGGTGGCACCATCAAACACAGCTTAGTCTCACCTCCAAGCATCCCATAACGGAATCACTTTCTGCACAGCAGGTCCTGATCAGCCTTGTACTATTTATTTTTGGCATTAGTTCACCCACCAACCCATGGAGAGCTGAAGGGACAGGGAGCCCGGTCTAGTGTCGCTGCCTTTGGTCATGGAGCCAAAGAAACGTGTCCCACGGTTCAGGGTGCCCATGACAAACTCCATCTGGGAACACTACAGCTACCCTCTTCTAGGTAAGTGCCATTCCCAGAGGGATGTGGCTTTTGGGCCAGGTTCACGGCTACCAGAGGTCCCCTCTCCCAAAGCAGTACCAGCAGCTTTCAGCTCCACCACTCGCTGTGTGTGCTCAGCCCAGGGACCCCAGCGACCTCCTCCCAGACAAGGAGGGAACGCACTCCGCCCCACGGAGCTGCGCTGCGGGACACAAGCCTGCGGCTCTTCTCAGCCTCCTCCCGACCAAGGGCTCTGTTATGCAGAGGGATTTTTGAGGTCTACCCTCTCTAAAAAGTCTGTGTGAGGATTTCTCCAAGGCTGAACACGCCCAATGCGAGCACACCGACCCCTCCTGCACTGGGGCACTGATTTTTGCAGACTCAAGGCCCGTAAAGAAAATTCCCCCCATCCCTGAGGATGTGTGACAGGATGTGACCAGCCTACTGGTTATTTAGCCAGGGTGCCCGTACAGCAAGACAGCGCAGCAGCAGGGAGAGCACGCAACAGGGCAGGAAGGGCAGTCTGGGGTCCATGAGGCATCAACGCTGCTTTAGCGCAAGCAGGACGCTGGTACCAGCTGGGCTCGGCTCAAGGCTGAGACTTGTCTGCACCGCAGCACCAGGGCCTGCAGCCACGCTGGGGAAGGGGACTCCGGAACGGCTCAGCAGAGCCACAGGAAGAAAAGGCAGAGGTGGGTGAAACGAGGCGGCTGTTCACGCGGCTGAGTCGCATGCTGGCCCCTGGACAGCCTGTACCCGCCTCCCACCCGACGCACGTTCGCGCGCACTCTCAACCCGTCTACTATGGCAACCGCAGCACTCGAGCTCCCCGTCTCGCTGACAGCCCCTACCTCCATCAGGTCTATTAGCCACAAGAGCCGCTCCTGGGGACGTGCGAGGGGAAAAGCAGATTAAAACAAGCACAAAAGCGAAAACATAACATCAGGGAGGATGCAAAACAAATGAGTGAGACAAGCAAATCCTGGCACAACACGTCCCTCCTCCCCCAAAACCCACCCTGCAGAATCCACGTCCAGCCGCACCCAGTGCCGATGGTGACGGCTGAAACGGGCGCCCCCCCCCCCCCCCGCGAAAAGGGCAACAGCAAGGCAGAGCAAACAGTTGGGGAGCTCTGCCCCCCTCCCCTCTCTCCCGCTAGCTGAGATAAGCACCATCCACCACGAGCTGGTGCTCTCTGCTTGGCAGTTGTTTTAGCCAGCAGTGGTGGCAACCATCTCGAGCGTCAGCGTTCCCACCACCCGCGGCAGAGCTCAGAGGGGTGCACGTTCTCACACCCTTGGAAAGAGGTGCCGCGCTGCCGGGGAGGACCTGCGGTGTGATCGAGGGACACACGGTCCTGAAGGAAGCTCTTCAAACAGCGGTGCCCGCTCTCTTTATGCCAGAACAGCATCCCGGTCTCCCTCCCCGACCTCTGGGCTCGTGTGCCAGGCGGGGCTGGGCCGTTGCTCGCACCCCAGGCCAAGCAGCCATGCCTGGCACGTGGTGTCACGGAGCGGGAGGGAGAGCACGGTGCACCCAAAGCAAGTGGTACAGCATGAGCACAGGGCGTCACGCTCAGTGCACAAGTCCCGGCAGACCTGTGTCAGCCATCTGAGACTTCAGAAAGCTTTTCCCAGCAGACCTTCGGAGAGCAGCACCAAACTGGCTTTGTTTACCCTGATCCGGAAAGGATCTCGCTGTAAGCCATCCTGAACAGAGCAGATGGCTTTCCTATGGGTATTTGTGAAGTCGACGGGACAAAAGCACAGCTCTGATGCTCTGAAACTCTCCCAGGCCTCTGGGGAGGCTGGACCGAAGTGCACAGGCAGGCCCAAAAAAACCGCCTCTCCCCCACGCTGGCTGCGTTGCCTGGGCTCTCCGCGGCACAATCCCACTCTCCCCGGCCGTGGGCTGCTTTGCTGGCTGGCAAACTAGCAGAAAGCCTATTGTCATCCGTTCTTTTCATGAAGGTTTTAATTTCCAAGGTTGCTAATGCATTTATGATGAAAAGCATTTTACGGCTAGGAAATTAATTTCAGGGCTGTATGCCTGCACACTCTGAGGTGATTACGATAACTTAATTAGACGGTGCGTGCAATGAAGGCCTGGCAGAGAGACGTGGGAGCGCTGCTGCTTAATGCTGGAGAGTGGGCAGGGGCTGG